TTTAAGGAACGGTATGAAAGAAGCACACAGAGCAACTGTCATTGATACAGGGAATGGGGGATAAGTAAAACAAAGTCACTTACACCCCCCAAAATAACCATATGGCCCAAAACTCTGAGGCACTTGGGGTCTGATCTTAGCCTGGCCACTGACTGTGTGCCTGTGGTGATTGATCCATTTCTGTCCCTGTGTCCACAAGGAAGGTGGATATGCATGGACAGAAAACTAGCATCACTTAAAATTGGAGGAGTTTAGCTCAAAAGACTCAAAGAGCTGTGGAATCTGCTTGGGTTCTCTGTTAAAGCAATCCTGCAGAAACCTGAAAGGAACTTTTCCTCAAAATTGGAATGCTGTAATGCAGATCTTAGTGACAGAGATGTGGAAATTTTAAAAACCAGCTTTTTTTGGTGACTTCCCATGTGTTATCTACAATACCATGTGCAGGAGCAGCGTGCTGGTTTCCGAGCTCAGCTCTCCTGCCTGAGCTGTGGTTCACTGCTTCCCCTGTAGCAAATGTTGTTGGAAGAATGGGGCCTTGAAGAACAGTGATGCCAAACTAGCCCTAATTCAACATGGAATTTAGCTGCATTCAAGACATCAGTCTTTCATGTCTGTTGTCTTGCTGAGTTCTTCACAAATTATGATTTTCTTCAGCGTAATTATACAAGATGACTATTTCTCAAAACTTTAAATGATTTCTCTGATCTCCTCTGAGGGAAACTTCCTGAGCTGCAGACAAAAACCAAATACATTTTTTGTCAGTCTTCAGCCTGAGTCTTTACAAAGGGAGCACTGTCTGCATAACGCCACTGACTGTGCTTCTGCCGAGTCTGCAGCGCTGATAAGCAAGATAATACAAATAAATAATAAATACTGGAAACTGAAGGGAAAACATCCCAGATCTGTGCTGCTCTTGCTGCAAGCTGTGCTTTAAAGTTTCTTTTTAAATGAAGAAATAACTTCTGACAACATTTCAAGACTACAGTTGTGGTCACTTTTTAGAAAATACTGGGGTTTTTCAGCGCTCTTGGTGTGCACAAGGTTTTCTGTATTTCATGAGTTCCTGGGCACCAGCTAAAAAGATAAAATCTTTTCACCCACTTTACTTGTGACTTGCTTAGCCTAGGGTACACATAGGATATCCAGTGTGCAAAACTGGGTGAGGGAGGGATGTTAAAATTGATTTGGTAGCCACCAATACTGGAGCATCACTGGACTCATGTCCTCTGCTTAGAGATTTTTTTCCTGAGGAAGCATTACTCATTTAGTTTGTGTTTGTTTAATTTTCACTTTGATTTCCTTGTCAGCACAGCCTTCTGGTTTGTGGAGTTCTGTGCACTGAGAGAAACCAGGTCACATAGCATCATGCAGGTTTTTTACCTCCTGGGGAGGGTAATGGAGAGCCTTGCTGTCCTGATTCATGCACATCCTCCTGCTTAAGCAGCAGATTCAGATTACACGGGGGAGATAAGGTTGGGATCTGTCAGGGTTTTTAAATGACCAGTTCAGGGCAGTATCAGTTGTATTCACAGGCTGATATTTCTCTGTGGACAGAGTTGAAATGGCTTTGACTGAAGGCTCGGTGGTCGATCGCTGCAGCCCAGGTGGTCTCTGCAGGTGCAGATACATAGTCTGGTGGCAGCAATGTTGTGTCCATGTGTCCTTTAAACAGCTCAGGGTGACAGGGCGGTGGGGAAGAAGGAGGGTGTCAAATTTCAATAAAAATATTTTTCTGGGGTTTTTTTTCATTATCAAACATACAATTCTTTTGCAGATACAACCTGCAGGGCTTATACTGGAGGAACCTTGGCCAGGAAAGTGATGTCAGCTGGTGAAAGGGGGTGTTGGTGGGGAGGTGTTGAGACAAGAGCTCTGTGCTCAGGAACTGAAGGGTCAGGTTGCTGCCCATAACCTGAGAGCAGACAAGGTAAATGACAGTGGAGGTGGGAGGATTGGCAAGAAGTGTAGGTTTTACATACTAAACTACAGAATTGCTGGTGATGGAGCCAAGTCTGATTATTTGCAACATTAGATAAAAAAGTTAAAAGCAGCTTTGATCAGAATTCATCCCTGCATTTATCAGTCCTTAGTTCTGCTGATAACTGGGGCCAGAAAAACCTACTTACAGTTCATCTCACCCTCTGTGGTTTGGCTTCTTTGGCTGAGTGCAGCAGCATGTTTCCTGAGCAAACTGTTCTCCCTGCATTCTGTCCCAGAAAGGGCCACAGCGAGCTGGGGCTTGGACGTGAGGAGCAGCCCGTGGTGGCTCCATTGTCTGAGCCCGTGCCCGGGCCGTGCTCTGTTGACACAGACACTTGGGCTGTTTGTCCGTGTGCGAGGGTTTCGTCCCTTCGGGTTCAAACAAAGCCACGGTCACAAATAACACGTTGAGCTGTCTCATCCTAGAAATTGTGTTGCTGCAGGAGGTGAACAAAGGCTCAGTCAAGCTGTGCTGGTGCACGGTTGATGAGGTTGACATGAGATCCCAGGGCTGGAGTGACATCGTGGTGCTCACACAGGTCCTGGGGGTGTGGATGTTGTTAGGGCACGGTGTTTCTGTCCCCATTCCTGCACACATGCAGGAATGTCTCTGTTTTACCCCTGGTCTTATGTGAAACCTTCATATGGAAAGGTGGGCTCAGACTGGCTTTGGGATGAGGGGTTTAGTGCAATAGGAAGACTGGGAATCAAGCATGCCATGCTTTATGGATGTGCATGCATTTTGTTCCCTTTCTGTTGAATGGGAGCTCTTCTCTTGACAGTAATTAGTGGTTCTTGAGGTGAGGGTGCCTATTTGGAGAGCAGGGAGTAAATTTAAACTGGGAATCTACAGAAGGGCTTGATGACTACCAGGAAGCAGCTGAAGCTTGGAGTAATAGAAGACATCCTGTATTGCCCAGAGATTATAGTCATGATAAAGGCAGATCTTTCAGGGTATGAAAAGCAAGTCTGAAAATACATTGTTTGCTTTTGAATAAAAAAGTAACTGAACAGAAATCTCCAAAAGACTTTAGGTTGTAACTTCAACCTGGTGGTTGTCTGCGGAGTGTCCTGGGTCCAGCCAAAGCTGAGTCTCAGTGGATGAGATGAGCTGCATTTCTCAGTAACTCCTTCTGTACTTTCTTTCTGTGACACTAAAATTTAAATGCATCTTTAGTGAAGAAAAGTCTGTCAAGCTTAGACTGGGAGCTGATAGGGGAAGAGCTGTGGATGGTTTGTATGTGGAGTGTGGGTGTCAGAAAACAAATAGCAGAACTTCCTTAAGAGTTAGTGAAAGTTCAGGATGTGACAGTGTCTCCTTTTAAAGCGGGCAGTTCTCAGTGCTTTACCAGGATGTGATTTATAACCAGCAGTACTGTGCTTTAATTGCTTCACTGATGATTAAAGACATCATCACCTCTGTTGTGAAGTCAGTGGGAATGTTTCCATTTCCTTTGCTCTGTGCTCTTCTGGAAGCTCAGATCTAAACTTTTGCTGTGAAACACTACCCATGGCAGTAAGAAATCCAGGAGACAAAGCTTTTAAAGTAATTGGGTGATATTCATTACACACAGTGGAATTAGTGAGAAACTGTTAAGGTGTCAAAGTTGATGTTCAGGTAGTCTCATTAAATACCTCCACATTTTCTGATGGAACTTAAGGAATAATTCTCCTGAAGTACTTTTATATTTCAGGCTTTATATGATAGCTAATTCTGGAGATTTCAGATTTCAGATGGTCTGTGCTGCCCAAAATCTGCTCAGGTATTGGCAAGAAGCCTGTGCTGAGAGGCATCTGGTGAGAGTGACAGTGATGCATTGAGGGAATACTGTGTCCTTTACCTTGAGAGTCTTTTCACATCAGCTTTAGGTTATATTCGGAGTGTAATTGCCAAATAAAATTAAAAATTATTCTTCCTCTATATAAAAAGGGGCAAAATCTGTTGGTTTTCCAACTAAAATAGTTTTCTGTTGGTTTACCAACTAAAAGAGTTTTACCAACTGAAAATGTTTCTGTGAGGGATATGTGATCTCTTATCCCAGATAGAATCTCAGAAAATGGTTCTGCAAGCTTAAAATTATTAATTTTTGAGGGCAAGGCTGTAGCAGTTACGTGACTAAAAATCCTCCCTGGAGGAGTCTGTGCTCTGCCTTGAGGAATCATCCTGCAGCCCTTCCTGCTATCAGTGACCCAGTTTGCCCACGCAGATGGGTTGGATTTGTGAGAGGGGAGCACGGAAGGTGTGGAGCAGATGTTGCTGTGCTGCTCTGCACAGGGAAGGCTCCTCTTCTGAACAGTTCCTCTCCACTAGAACCTGGAGTGAAGTGTCTGGAAAGGTGCAGGTGTTGGGTAGCACCACGTTACTGTGGGAATTAGGAGTTTTACAGGCATCTCTTAGAACTTTGCTGGTACAGCCCAAGCCACTTGAGGTTACTTCTGCTCCATGTACTTTGCTTCTCCACACACCATCTGGAGAAGTTGCTCTTTGGTTGCTTTCCCAAGGGATGCCGTTTCCTTGAAAGTTCATGTGAATTTACTCTCTGGAAGTCTGTATTTCTGAGTACACATTTGAGCTTTTGGGAATGCGTAGAGGGAATGGAAGGTGGCTGTGATGCTGAATAATTTACAGGGAAGCTTTGGAAGCAGTGAATTCAGTTGTATGTGAATTGTTGGCCTGTATTGGATTGCCTCCATATTTTGTGATCAATAGCTGTTAGTGCAAAACTGAGTGTGCTTAAGGAATCCTGCTTCCTACTAGTGAATTGCTGCTATTGAATTATTTTTCTGACATATAGAGGTGCAGAAATGGTACTCAGACTCTTGTCATATCAGAATTTTGTGTATGTTGTACCAATTGCTGTGTGTGCCACGTGAATGTCCTCATTTGTGTGGGTAAAAAATAACTTTTTGAGGTGTTGAAAAAAGAAAATTTGTAAAGCAGGTGAGCCACAGTCTGTGGCAGCACTCTGCCTGCCCTGGTTTGCATATTTAATTATTCCTTCTTGTCTTTTCCAATCTAGAACGTGGTCCAAAACCATTCCTGGCAAGGTCGAATTCTTCTCCAGCGAGGGTTCGGACACCTCTATCCCCATCCCCATCGTGCCGCTTCCGGGCGTAGATGACTCCTACCCCCCCCAGAAGAAATCCTTCATGATGCTCAAATACATGCATGACCACTACTTGGACAAATACGAATGGTTCATGAGGGCTGACGACGACGTTTACATCAAAGGGGACAAACTGGAGAACTTCCTGAGGAGCCTGAACAGCAGCGAGCCGCTGTTCCTGGGCCAGACCGGCCTCGGCACCACGGAGGAGATGGGCAAGCTGGCGCTGGAGCCGGGGGAGAACTTCTGCATGGGGGGCCCGGGGGTGATCATGAGCAGGGAGGTGCTGCGCAGGATGGTGCCGCACATCGGCGAGTGCCTGCGCGAGATGTACACCACGCACGAGGACGTGGAGGTGGGACGCTGTGTGCGCCGGTTCGCGGGCGTGCAGTGCGTCTGGTCCTACGAGGTAAGGACGGGGCGGTGGGGAGGGGGCTTTTGGGGCAGCTAGAGGGGAGGGGGCTGTTGTGCACAGCAGATCCTCCAGCTGTCAGCTGCCTCTGCAGCATCACCATCCCGCTGTATGGTTTCTAAGCTTTTTGTTCCCTGCGAGTGTCACCCTTGGAAAATTTGGAAATGTAGCAGTAAGGAGGGAAGTGGAGGAATATTCGTTATTCATCACAGATATTTTTATTTAGATAGAAAGGGAATAAGCTGAAATCAAAATGGCCTCAGGTGCCTGCAGTCCTGACTGTCCAAGCCTCTTTTATCTTCTTTACCCGAGCACGTCCTGGTGTCAGTATGGAAAATGGATGATACAATCACCGTGTTTCTTACTGCAGTTGAAATGTGTGAGGCTGACAGATGTTTGCCCTGACAGTGACAGTTTTTCCCCAAACTGGAGATGTCTCATGGTGGCTGGCACTGCAACCCTGCATGCTGAGCTGCCTCCTGGCAGCCCAAATCTGTTGCTGCTCTGGGCACTGGTTGGCAGCCCCGTGCTGCAGGCGCCTGCTCAGCAGGTCCTTGACGTCAGCAGAGACAAGCCACCACTCTTACCTAAACTCGTGGTCTGCCCACACTGATGCGCCTGCAAATTTGGCATTTTGGGGGATAAAAAATTAGAGAGCCTGCTTGTGGCAGAGTTTCCTGCTGCTGTTTGTTGGGAGCTGGCAGCTCCTCCCTGGGGGTGACAGGGGCTTCTCCTGCCTGGGTGTGCTGGGCTCCTTGGAGTGAGTCCTGGGTGTTTACAGACTGCCTGCTTGGAAGCAGCTGCTGGGCTTGAGCTGCACTTTCACCAGGGTAAATGCTGGTGGGTCTGCCTTTGAAATGTGGGAGAAGTTGAAAGCAGAAGAGAGGCTGGACAGTTTGTGCACAAACATTTACGACCTGACGCAACTACGGCTTTGTCCTTTCATGTGACGTGGTGAAGGGGGGCTCTTCTGCCTCTGTGGCAGGAACTGTGGTCACAGTGACAGTGAGGTCACAGACAGTGACAGATATTGCTGCTGAGCCACTCTTTCACTGGCAAAGACTTGGGTTTAACTTTTGACACTGAGTTTCTGCCCCAAAAGCTGTTGCTTTGTTTCAGTTCACAGTTCGGCGATGGGGAAGCCTCTGAGGAAGGGAAAGGAGGTTTCCAGCTGCAGTTATTAATTAATATCTTTTGTGCCTGGAGACTTTCTGTACTAACAGTGTCTCTCCACATTCCCTGCCTTCAGACCTGGAACTAGTTTATGTTTTGCCAGCATTGTGGTTTAGCCATTCGTAAAGAGTCAGTAACTTTTTCCACAGTTTTCAGCAGCATAAAATTTTTACTATAGACATTCAGAGTTGAAATAACTTCTGCTGTGAATGCCTGTACCATCTGGCATTTGATAAGTTACTGAAGGTCAACATTTTGGTCTTATTGAAACTGTCAAAGAGCTCCTAAATTCAATACAACCAAATATTGGATTGAAATAACCAAGGATAGCCCACAACTGCACTGGGAATACTGTCTGACAGAAATAGATGGGGCCTTTTCATATCAGTTTTATTTGATGAGCTGCTGTTATTAGCCTTAATGCTGGATTCTCCTAAGTGCCATGAATTGCTTAAAATTGGTTTGTGTGAAGCGTATAAACTGTTGGGTGTTCAGAAGTAACCCGTGAGTGTGGGATGTTAAAGCTCAGCTGTTGGGGAGAGTAGGAAACATTTCAATGACAAAATTCCACAGCTTCTGCAAGAAGTAGGTCCACTCTCATTTAGCTGTGGCTTTTCAATTTAAATACCTGTCATCTTTTTTTATCTGGTCCTCTTGTTGCCCAGATGAAATGTGCCTGGTAGTTTATTTCAGATAAAGCAATAGCTGTGTGAAAAAACACAGCTGTTGCAACAGCTGTGTTAGAAATGCTTGGTGTAAAAGTGACATTTTCCATGTCTTGTATGTTCATGAACATCAAGTAACAGGCCACTGTAAGTGAGTTACAAAATGTTGTGTTTCACTGAGCTTCTGATGGAGCAAAAAGTTTATCTGTGCCTGCTCTGCTGGGGCACAGCCACCGCATCCTTCACAATTCCCATCAGAGGAAAAGCTGTGACAGCACAAGGCTCAGCAGACAGAGCAGTGCTGGCCTTAGGAATCCCAAACCTCAGACTTCTCCTTTGCAGCCTGCACTTCCCATTCTGAAGAGGCTCGAGTGGCAGCACAAGGGAGGAGTTCAGGCTCTGCAGTGACCCCCCAGCTCGCTGCGTTTCGTTCTCAGCATCTCGGGCGTGGAGTGCCCTGCTGGTCCTCACCACGGGTGGCTTTTCCCTGCACTGTTCTCGTGGTGGGCTTCCTGCCCAGAATCGTTTTACTCATCTCCATGACTGTCACTGCCCCCTTTCTCTGATTTTGGGATCCCACAATGTCTTTACTGTGCTGCTCATCTTCCCTGGCCCTGGCCCTGGTGGTGTGCCCGAATGCATCACCAGGCCAGCTCTGTGTGGCGTTTCTGCTCCCAGCAGTTTGTCTCAAAGCCCCTTTTTTCCCCCCTTCCTGTGTTTCTGTCACTGCTCTGCTCTCTGCAGTGCCTCTCAGACCACTTGATTAGAGTGGCATCGGTTGTTGCCCGTTTCAGGACTCGGAGGATTTGTTCACACTCTCCTGGTCAGGAGCTTTTCAGAGGCACAGCAGAGGAACTGACACCACCATTCTTTGCACTTCCTGTGTCATCTCAGCCCAGAAAAGCAGCAGCATGTGCAAGGTTGAGGACAACTGCAGCACTCTGGGCAGCTCTGACCCACCCAGGCTGCTGCTTTGGGAGCAGTTTGCAGCCCACGAGGGATTTTAAGCTCCTATGACCAGGCTTGGAGCTGTTATTTGACACAGGTTGAGTGAGTCACAGATGAGACATGGCTGTTAAATGCAAGTTCTTTAGGGCAAGGATTATCATCATTGTAAAAACAAAACCCAGACTGTGGCTGCTGTTTGACAAATAGCTGTAAAACTCACTCTATAGGGTGGAGCAACCAAAGCTAGAGAGTTTATGCAGCAAATTGTAAGAAAACAGTCATGAAAAGAATGGAGCTATGAAGTCTCTGAAGCTTCCAGAAGGGAGCTTCGGAGTTCATGAAGAAATACAGAGTGTGGTCCTTTTTCTTGGAGAGAGCTGAAGGCTTGGAGTGAACTTCCTCAGAAGTGGTTCTGCATTTCTAGTGAACACTGGTACTTTAGACTTCTGGCACGGTGCTGGGTGTTATCCTCAGGAAAAGAATGCCTGCTTAAGTCTCCTTCCTTCTCCCCTTTCCTCCCACCAGTAGTTCTTCCAGTCCATCTCATGTGAGTCACAGGGACGTGGAAGTTTTGTTTTCTCCTACATTGCCATGTGGTGCCAAGCAGGGTTTTGGATTTCAGCCTTGAGAACATGTTCTGGTTTTGATGACAAGCTCTTTCACTTGTGATTTAAACCATCCCAAAAGTATTGTTGATCTCAGTTTTGTGTCCAATATTTCCTTTAAATGCACCTGAATTAGAAAGTCACTGCTGTGTAGCTTGGTGTTGTTTCAGCCTTGTTTTGCAGCTGTTGCTGAGTACTGTTCTAATTTGTGGTTAACAGCTTCACAATTTCATTACAGGCTCTTTGTAGCTGCTAGAAGTCAAGGCAGTGCTGCTATATCTCATTTTCTTTTGTATTTAAACCCTTGTGACACATGCTGCTTTCAGGTGATCCCAGTTCCTGCCTCTGTGTCCTACAGTGCAATAGTGGATAGTGGATCCTACAGTGGATCCAGTGGAGCATCTTTTCCTACCTCTGGCAGGTATAAATAACCAATTTTTTCTGTTTTATCTCCTGTTCTGATTGAGGTTGTGGGAGAAATTAGGTGAGATGCAGCAAGTGTATCTGTGTGGAGAAAGCAATGCTTTCCTCCAAACTGCAACAAGGACTCTAAAATGTCCTGAAAGGAGACAGGATTTTTTACAATATACATGGAAAGGAAAGTGTGACAAGGGCATTGATCACACCAGGAAACATAAGCAGCAAGGAAGAGCAGGTCCAACCTTTTGGGTGTTGGTGAGAGGAAAAAGTAGGACATTGGTGACCAGGGATAGCAAGGGGCTTTGGGAGAAGGGGGGTTTGAATTAACATTTTGTGTGGTCTTTCATCTGGAGTAATTGAAGATAATTGCTACTCTGAAATTCACTGAAGTTAAGAAAACCCTTAAAGTGCTCATTATATCTGCCAAGTACGCTGGCAGTGCCAGAACATACCATTTCTGGGATGGATGTTCCCAAGGGCAAAACTGAAGTTTATGCTTTTCTGTAAGACAGCTGGAAGTAAAAAAAATAAAAATCAATTATAGTCCTGCAGTGATTGATCAGATCTGAAGGACTGGAAAGAGGTGCTGCTGTTAATGGCTGACTTCCAGTTCCTTTGCTCTCCCCTTCTCTCATTAACAAAAAGGAGACTGATCCTGTTGGGCTGGATGTGAGTGACAGCCAGCACAGAGTGAGCTCAGAGCAGGGCAGGATGGGGTCTGTGAGGGGGCTCTGCAGCCCCCCTGATCCCTGCAGACACTGGGGGCAATGGGGTTGGACTGTGGTGTTTGGTGGTTCTTGCTCCATGAGCCTCTCCTTGGACTCCCAGCCAGCAAATCAGAGATTTGACTTGTCTTTGTGGCAGGAGCTTCCTGCAGCACTCCTGAAATAAGACATTATTGTATGTGTGTATTGTCCTGGCTTCAAAGCTTGGACATTTTCTGAAGTCAGAGCATGGAAACTTGACAAACCTTGACAGCACAGACACCTTATCTCGCTGCGTGTGCAGCCCACTGCATCTCTCAATTTCAAGAAACCTGTGATGTGAATTGTGTGTGTGAGAGAGGGAGGATACAAGCATGCCCAGAGTTTTAGAGTGGATGTTTATAAGCCGTCTTTCCTCCAGCACTAAATTTTGTCTTTGGAACGCCTCAGAGATGTCCTTTTGGCTTCAGATTAAGAAGTAA